GCCCCACAAATGGTTACTTTACTTGCTATTCTACTAATTATAATCACATCTTAACATACAGCATTTTAAAACCATCATATTTCAAGTCTATCAGAGAGAGTATTATTTACTCAACATACTTACTGGAAGAAGAGCAAAAGCAAATACAGATATAGTGGAGCAAAAGTCTGTTGACAGTACCTTCAAGTCTATAAACTTGTCTATGACTTTCTTATTTTAACTTAAAAAAAAAGAGAGACTATGAAATGAAAAAACAAAATAAAGCCATATAAGAGTGCTGAAGTAAGGAAGGAGCAATTTCCTGTTTTTCATATGCTAAAAAGTCTATCCCTTAATATATTCAACCTAGGGCCTAGAGCTAAGAGTTGGTTAATGCCCCACCTGGAAGAAGCAGGGTCTTTTTTTTTTTTAAGGAAGATTAGCCCTAAGCTAACATCTGCTGCCAATATCCTCCTCTTTTTGCTGAGGAAGACTGGCCCTGAGCTAACATCCGTGCCCATCTTCCTCTACTTTATATGTGGGACGCCTACCAAAGCACGGCTTGCCAAGCGGTGCTATGTCCACACCCGAGATCCGAACCAGCGAACCCCAGGCTGCCAAGAAGCAGAACGTGCAAACTTGACTGCTGCACCACTGGGCCAGCCCCAAAGCAGAGTCCTTGAGTTAGTCACTATTCAAGAATCCTCCTGGAGAGACACTATTTTTCCAAGAAAATTTAAGACAAGACATTGTTCTATCCATCCACTGTGGCTTAAATTTTAAGGTTCATCAACAGCAAGCTCCAATAAATGAAATACAAGGTAACATTTGCTGTAACTCTCTGCAAACAAGTCTTAAGAAAAAAGGTTACATAATACGTCTTTAAACAGGAAATCCTAACAAAAGGCAACAAACTTTCCTACTTTGTCACAAGGCACTTTAAACATAAAAATATGACCTCATGAAGACAGTCACCTAAATATTCAAATATCTTCCAAATAAAGTTGTCTAAAGGAGATGATCGTATCTCAGATTACAACATTTTGGTTTAAGGTATAACTTGATAGTAAGAAAACATAAAGGACAAAAGGGAACCTTCTGGTGGTTTGTTGCCAAGGAAAGCGAACTCCTTCCTTCACAATATACTCATTCTTGGCAGGAATGTTGTGAAAATTAACAAGGGAACATGTGCAAAACATTCTGAGCTCTTTGAAGATATGTAAGCTCTCTCTGGTAATCTGAAGGTGTGATGTGCTTTACCTCTCACATTCTAACCAAAAGCAGCCTGGGACTTGGCAGCACTTTTCAGCTCTTTGCTGACTGTAGACATCCCGGAGCTTTACAAAGCCACACACACTTTCACTTAATTCTTCTCTGCTTAAATACCAAAATGATCATGATGCTGCTGTTTCTGTCCATCTAAAAGATCACACTGAGTTTAACTGTTAATGGTTCTATGTGGCTAAAAGCCAGCATCTAAAAAGCCTTTCCCACCAAGCTCACAAATACAAACTGATCTTTCATTTGCTACTATTGCTACTTTTTGCAATCTGCTTAGATTCACAGTTAACGCAAAGCAATTTCTTAAAAAGAGTTCCCTCTCTCATTTTGATGGCTGCAGACCAACCAATCAACACTGCTGTCTACCTCTCTAAATTACATACCCTCTGATCAAACAGTAGCCACTTGAAACATAAATAGAGACATCAACCACTCAGGCTTACATTCAGGCCTTGACTTATTAAACCACATAATAATGGGTCTAATGCTAATCTTTAGATCTAATTTTCAAAGCACTAAAAAGAAAATGGGGGCCGGGTGGATGGTGCAGTGGTTAAGTGTGCACGTTCTGCTTCGGTGGCCCGTGGTTTGCTGGTTTGGATCCCAGGTGCGGACATGGCACTGCTTGCCAAGCCATGCTGTGGCAGGCGTCCCACATATAAAGTAGAGGAAGACGGCACAGGTGTTAGCTCAGGGCTAATCTTACTCAAAAAATAAATTAAATAAATAAATAAATAAATAAATAAATAGAAAATGACCCGTTTACTGGAGGTCACTAACCATTTTTGAGTGTTTACTCCTATCTAAGACATGTGGCCATGCACCTTTAATATATATATATATATGTATGTGTATTGGCTGGTTTTAAACTATATGTACAGATTAACATACAATTATGAAATGAATGTACAAAACAGAAATTTTATTTTATTTTATTTTTTTCCTGGAAGAAGATTAGACCTGAGCTAACTGCTGCCAATCCTCTTCTTTTTGCTGAGGAAGACTGGCCCTGAGCCAACATCCATGCCCATCTTCCTCTACTTTATACGTGGGATGCCTACTACAGCACGGCTTGCGACGCAGTGCCATAGTGGCACCCAGGATCCGAGCCAGTGAACCCCGGGCCGCCAAAGCAGAATGTGCACACTTAACCACTGCACCACCGGGTCGGCCCCTCAAACCAGAAATTTTAAAAGGCTGAGATAAAGAGCTTTTACTATTTTCTATCCATATCTCATTGACTGCACATTGATATGCCTTCCTTCAGAGATCACTGACTTAAAAAACCACTTTATTCTAGCCTAAGTATCCTTTTACTAACACACATCATTACTAAGCTGGAGGCTGCTTTAGGTCCAAACTTGCATGGACAGACTGGCTTGGAGGGGATCAGTAAGATCTAATTCAGAGGCTCTTACTCGACGGCTCCTAAGAAATGACACCACTGTAAGGTAATTATTTACTGATCATCTACACCTGTGATCACTTACGCCCTGTGCTCTGGGAGAACTAGTGTTACTGTGCCCCTGATGGTAGAAGCACCATAGAGCACGTGTTAGAGGCATCAGTCCTACTGTTAAAGAACCCAGACATAAAGAATACAAGAACACTCCAGCAATGTAACATAAATAATTGGTGATGCTAAGAAAAATGCTCAAAATCCCCACCATGGGCAACCTGCTAATTCCAGAACAGACAGAAAGATAGAGACAAAAACAGTCAACCTATGGTTCTCAAAGCAAATCATTCAATTTACCTCTGGAAATCAGCAAACTCTGTCCTCTAGAGTTAGGGCCATTATTCAAAGCTGAGAAAGTACAGCTAGTTCAAGGAGCCTGAGGGGGCACAGACAGGCTTCTTGAAAAGAAGTACAGCAGGGTGAACTTGATGGCCTTTAATGTCCATGCTGAGAAATCTCAACTTTCCTCAGGCTTTTTAGGAGACGACCTGTACACTGTATTAATTTCCTTCCAAGCCAGAAATTCTCAATCTTTTTCTAGTTAAGAGTTACGTATTCACCTAAAAGAAGGCCTTGGAAATGTGTGAATGAGAGCTCAGTGCCTCACTCATCATTTCATTTACAGAGACCTAAAAATATTACCCTCAGTTCCTAGTACAGGTCTCTTTCCTAAATCTCTCACAATGACCCAATGTGCTTGAGGCTCACTCCATGACTGTTACCTGAACATGCTGGTAGTGCTAACAGTAAACCCTGCCCTCCCCTGTCCTGAGGGCCAAGAACGAAAGGAAAGAAGGAAGACTAAAGTACACTGTGTGAAGCGTTGCACCTGAAATCAAAGGGCTCTGAATGTTTTCAAGCTTCTGGCTGGAATGGGTAGGAAGCTGCCTTTCTGACTTCCCACTGGCTAATCAGGACGGTCTGTCTCATTCCAGGGCACAGTTCTCTTCTATCCCAATCAGGAAGTACTCAATGGAGGTTGGGTGCTGGGCACAGGAGGCATGAGAGCATGCCAGGACTATCTCGCGCAGCCCTGCCTCAAAACTGATCATTTGGAACAGAAGAGCAAAATTAAATTCCTCAGAGTTCGATGCCTCAATGTTACTCTGGAACTTGCAAGGAGAGGCCTATTTGAGGTTTAAGATCAACACTATGAACATTTAAAGGGGCTGAAGTTTCAGTGTAAATTTGTACACAGAAATAGTTTGTGATTTTTCTGTTGGGAAGTGAAAAGGACTTTTTAAGTTAAGAAAATACTTTGTGACATTTAGAAAAACAATACAATTATTTTGACTCTTCTAAATACAATCCTTAAGATATTTTAAATAGCAGGCAGCATTACTGGAAACGGCAAATACTGTTTAAAATAAATGAAGCTACAGGCTAAGAGAGAAATGGGCATTATTATGACTGCTCGTTAGAGAGCTACAAGATTCATGACTTCATGTTTAATAAAAATGTCACAGAGGCACAAAATTCTTTTGGGACTCCACGCATCTGAAATGATTTCAGCATACCCCATGTTTTTAAGACAAATGAGAGAAAATGATTTTCTGAAACTATTAGGATACTATAATAGTCAAGTTAAAACACTGATTATCTGCACTACAACTTCTTTCACTCTACAGCCTCTACTATTTAAATAATGTTTTTTTTTAGTAGGTCCAAGACTTAGAGAAATGAGAGACATGTTAGAAACTGAGCAATTGGGCTGGCCCAGTGGCACAGCAGTTAAGTTTGCACGTTCCGCTTCGGTGGCCCAGGGTTTGCCAGTTTGGATCCTGGGTGCGGACATGGCACCACTTGGCAGGCCATGCTGTGGTAGGCGTCCCACATATAAAGTAGAGGAAGATGGGCACGGATGTTAGCTCAGGGCCAATCTTCCTCAGCAAAAAGAGGAGGATTGGCGGCAGATGTTAGCTCAGGGCTAATCTTCCTCAAAAAAAAAAAGACAGACAGACAGAAACTGGGCAATAATCCACTGGGCATTTTCTGTATGTTTCATGCGTTAATAATATTCTTCAGCCATTAGGAAGTAGGTGAATTTGATGTCTACCTTCTTGGTTCTAGCTGCCAGCATTAACTCAGCCAATCTGACTTCCAAGAGCACCACTCCAACCTCTGCTCACACCCTACTCCCAATACTAGGCACATGATACATCACTTCACAATTGATGGAAGAAATCAGAGTACCCTGGCAAGGACACCACATTAAAACCAGTAGCTAATTTCTGTGAAGAATTCAGATAAGAATGAATGCAGATAAGAATGATGTACGTACCTGTACCACAGGATCTTTTGGTTGGTGTGATTAACGAGACATGAGCTGTGTCTGTGCATGGCCCACCTAGAAACATAAAGGCAGGCACATCAGTCAGGACATATCCTCTACATGCCCATGGCTGCTATCTCGGATAAAGAGAAACCTAAAAAGGCAGGAATCAACCTGCAAATAGGCATAAGGAAGGGTAGCAAGAAAGATACAGGTGGTAGCGGTAGTTTAACTCTAAGGACCAAATTTTAGTTCAGCAATTTAGTCTATAGATCCATATTCTTTCTACATTATAACATGTTTTTCATAAAAAATAATCGAGCCTCACATAATGTTAAGAAGTTAAAGGATAAACTTTTAACTAGAATTCTGATCCAGGTGAGAAAAAATTAGCCATAAGTCTAGGGAGATGAGTTTTTCCACAGAGCAATAAGCAGGAGTACTCCCTCTTAGGTTGATCTCAGTGGTCACTCTACCATTGAATTTACTGCAAAACTAGTCTTATTTTAAAGGGGGAGCTTCCTAAGGAACAACAAACTGCTTGTCAGAAGAAATAATGATCATTTAATAAACAAAAAGAGCACTACTGACCAAGGAAGAAAATCTAATTTAATTATAAGCATATTATATGAAGAGGGCCTTCATGGAATCTTCGTGGGCCCAAAGATCTGATGGACAGGTATAATTCAAGAGTATGCAAGAGATATAGTCAGTCAGTGGGTGAAGGCTTGACAAGCAATAATCTCATTCTGCAGAATCAGGACCACCAATAAATTCTTAGGTTGATATTGATATACACCCTGACATTGCCCATCAACCATGCCCTACCTTCTGAAATAGGAAGTTATCTTGTATAAACATGAAGACCAGTGTTCTTGACATGCCCTGGGAGGGGTAGTGGTGATGATCATAAAGGAACAGAACACACTGGCAAATGTTACACATATATTTTGAAAAGGCTCCCTAAGTGACTATGAGTAGCAAAGGGAAACATGGTTACTTGGCATAGTTGTATGTCACCTATGACAAGACTTCGTATCACTGAAGTTACCCATCAAAAAGGAAGGAAAGATGAAAGAGCTCTGAGACCTGTTCCTAGAGTTTATGCCACCAAGATCCTGGAGATCCCACCTAAGAAGTTTCTCGTTAGTCCACTCTTTCTATACCAAGGTCTTAACAGCAGCAAACCTTAGTGGGTGTAAGACGACACAGAGGGGAAATAGGAAAAAGGAGGAAAACCCAAGTAAGTGTTTTGTTAGTGTCAAAGAGCACTTAGCAAATACCTACCATGTGCCACCATGGGTTAGTCTCATGCTTAGGGAGCTTATAATCTTGTTATGAAGACAAAATTTGTGTACATAAATAAAGAACAATACATGACAGCAATAAAGAGCTGAATGGAAAATGATCAAGTGCCAAAGAATATGAGACGAGTAAGAAATGCTCAATGTAATCAGGAAGAAGGATATTCATCATTGGCTGGCATCACCTGGAAAAACTTCTCAAGAGTTTGAAAAGCAGGCAAGAATAAATTGAAAGTCAGAAAGACCAAAAGAGCAGAGCATTTCAATTTAAAGATTTTCTACAAACATCACATTCACCAGAGAAAGCTTAACATACTAAAATTCCAGAGGTCCAAATGGGCAACTGTGGCATGACAAAAGCAACATGGAGAGACAATGAGCCACAGGAAAGTCTAATACAGACTCCACATCCTTGAGACCCCTCTGAGCACTGGCTTCTACGGCTCCATAAAACGTAATAGCTTCTGCTTCCATGTGAAGGTTTTTCGTTGTTGTTGTTAAATGAAACATTATTCCTGGGAAAATACAGGCTTTTACAAGAAGTCTCAGTTTAAGTCCTGCAACCACTCCCTACTTGCTGAGTAATCTTGGATAAGTGGTCCACAGCTTCTTTAACAAAAAAATGGCGATAGTAAAACTGCCCATAAACCACAGTGTTGATGAGATCATCTGTACAAAAAGACGTCTGAAACTATGAAGCTTTATATTACATATCATCACTTCTTCTTCCCTCAGACTTTATGCTCCCAAGGGTCAAGGCCCACTTTGTCATCTACTCTTGGGTCATAACTATGTGGACGGTGGGCACTTAATAGTGTTCATTAAGTGACCACTGCAAGCTGCTTGACTGAATCAGAAGAGTAATGTACATTTTTTAAAAATCTTTCTTTATTGAGATATAACATAAGAAGAATGAAATACTGGAATGAAGTGCACAAATCTTAAATATACACCCTGAAGGGTTTTAACATATATACACTTGTATAATGACCATCAAATAAAAATATGAGAACATTTCCAGAATCCAGAAAGTTCAAGGGAGCATTTTAAAAATACAGATTCCCAGACCCTGACTCTGGAAATTTTGATGCAATAGGGTGTGGTGGGCAGAGGAAGAGATTAGTGTACCTTTTTAAACCAGCTGAGCACAATGTAAATATTAACAGCTCAGTTAGTTCCAATCTCTGATAACATTTTCTCGAACTCCCAGCTCACTATCTGGCCAAGATCACCGAGTTCCCACAACACCATGAGCTGCACAAGGGTCAAGAATAGCTTAACTACCAGAATACTTTTTTTAAAAGGACATAAAATAATTCATCCAGTAAAATTATAAGAGAAGGGATAACTGGTCAAATCAAAACCCCTGAAGAAATTTGGCTAGGATTCATGAATTAACACTCTCATGTTTACAAATGCAATCTTTACCTCAGTTGTAAGCTGAGAGTTTATCCTTTTTAAAATTCCTAACAAATGAATTTCTGTAGGTTTTGGCAAATACGCAAATAACTTTAAGGCTATCTAGCATATCTCAACATGCATCATCATGAAAGTGTTCTCCAGAGAGCTTGTTAAACTAACAACCCAATCCAATGTATTCACTACATTACAGTAAAGTACAAATAGAACCATAGTTGAGCCAAAACAAATTGACAGCAAGAGTAACTGGAAGTGATAATATATCCCAGCTTTGATAATTGGACAATATTATAAACAGAGAGCTTGGAATAAGTTTGGTCAGGCTGACTATAACCTATCAAACTCTTTAAAATCCAGAACAGACGCATGTGAGCACCATACATATATTCTACACTAATTGTGCTGTCATACAAAATTCCTATACTCTCAAACAAAGGGAGCAGCCACAGGAGATTACGATTATCTACCCTTACACAATTAACTTCAAATCAGCTCTGTTAAAATGAATGTAGGAAATTAACGGCCACTCAAGGGGAAGCTTTTCAGGTTGTTGTCCACAACAATAAATATATAACATCGGTCCCATGTGGTTGTAGCAAACAAAACAATTTTGATTGTTGATGGTAAGGGTCAAAGGCAGAATATCTGCTCCACCTAGGAATGGAGCTGGCTCTTCTTTACTGGGCTTTCTAATGCCTGAGAGAGGGGCTGGCATATGGTCCCATAAGTCACTGTAAACTCTGCTCCCATTTTTGGCTCTTCTTCCTCTTCTTTCCAAGCAGCAGGGTGAACAGAGCTAATAACTAAGGAGTAAGGTGAGGAAGCCTCTTTATGACTGAGTTCTATAGGTGAATGTGTGTGTGTGTGTGTGTGTGTGTGTGTGTGTGTGTGTGTGTGTGTGTGTGCTGGGATCAAGGTTGGGAAAATAAATGTATTTCTAAGCACAGAACAATTCACACATTACCCTCTAGCCTATATTAGTGGCAACTGAGCTTGGAACAATAAGTTTTGGGTTTTTAAATACTAACGAAAAATCATAAAGTTCCTTGCTTAATATGACAGGCTCTGGGGATTCTGAATCAGATGATATCAAGACTAAACAACCTGAACTAACTTTTAGCCAGTCACCATGGGCACTTTTTGCTTTCTTTCCATAAAGCAAATTAAATATCTGAATTTTTTCAAGTCTCTTAATTATCTAGAGATATTTAATAACAGACTATCATTTTTCACTTGATACTACATTCAGAGAACTTTTTCCCAAGTTTCAACAACTTAAGAGTCTGGAGTTTGTAAGTAAATAATGTCTGCGGTAGCTTGTGGTTTGTGACCAGAAGTCTGAATACTCTACCTTGTCTTCTAGGGATGTTTCCATTCTTGTATTAAAGGTGTCATACATAACGCAGCACTACGGATTACTTTTGCAATTTCACATGGGAGCCATGAAATGAAATTCTTCAGCTGTATTTCCAACAACTAGAAATCTTTATAGCATTTGCAATAGGGTAGTAGATTTTCTTGGGGAAACAGTACTGATTTCAGCCTTGTAAAGTGGAAGACAGGGGTCAAATCTGCATACTAATTTCACCGTAACCTGCAAAACCAGGAGTACTGAATAGAGGTATCACATTAACTATCAACACTCACATTTCAAGCCAAAGTAGCAGAATTCTTAAATTTTCTTTTTCAGCCTCCTGTTGAGTTACTGAGCATGTCAAAAAACACTGAGCTACCCACGTAGTAGTCAATTCCATTCACTGGCTGAAGATTACGACTCAAAGAGGAAGCTGAGAATACAGGTTTGGAGGGCAGCTGCACTTAGCCTGGCAATCATTTAGGCACTCAAAATCTACGGCTGAGTAACTACAGAAAAATAGTATTTCTCCTTAACCTTGAAAATAGAGATCAACAACCTACCCAGAAAGCTTTTATTACAACAGCTGTGATGACTGGTTATTTTTGGCTCCTGGTTCCACGAGCCCTCATTGGCTGCAGTTATACCATGTGCTAAAACACATCAATTAGGACAAATGAACTGTCAAGGAGTCAGTCAGCTAAAAATTGCCAGAAGCTCAATAATCAAACAAATATTTTACGATCAGCTCTTTCATGGTAACTGCAAAACATTAATACACAAAAATAGCCATTCCTTTTGCAGATTTATAACACTTCAATATTCTTGCTTAATTAACATGACATTTACATAACAGTATCTAATTAATTTCCAACTAAAGGCACTGTGGACTAATTAGAAATGTATCATCCTTTTTTAACCAGCTTGTCAATTCCACTGTATCACAACCTGCACATTGTTTACCTTTGCAGCATCTCACTTTTCCACACTCACTATTC